GTAATGATTGAACTGAGTAGGGTTAGGAATTTGTGAGATTCAGGTATGCATAAAGTCCAGTTCCGAGCAGTGGAGGGCTTTTTCCAGTCGTCTCAAGCGGCCACATTGCACTTTGCATTGTGTTTGAGTGTCGAGGCTGCCGTTTCATTGTCATCGAAGCTGCAGGGGTGCGCGCAATCGTTTTTCTTGTCGAACAGTTTCCATGCCAGCGTCAGGGTGCTGGTATCTGTCGTTTCTGGATCTGTTGCGATCCATGTGCCTATCATTGCCTTTGGAACTGTGTCAGCTGCAGCCAGCTGCGCAGCCAACAGAGAGCAGGACGTTTGTGATGTCACTCTTTCTTGTTGCTAAGGATGCTCGAATTCAAATGAGTCTTGAAGTCTTGAAGCCGGCCGCGCTCGTGCGAGGGGGTGGGTTTCAGTCGCGGCGTGGAAGTTGAGCTGTCGAGCCGAAAGCCCAAAGCTTCAAATCCCATAAAACCCCCATGTAAATTCCGGATCCTACCTCCTGAAAAACAATCCCTCCACTCGCAACCTGCCCTCGTCGACCTCTTCTCAGGTCAAAAAGGAGGAGCTCTGAGGAACTGCGGTAGAGCTGTAGTCTACACAGGTCCTCGAGCCTTCCGCGTCTTCCGCTTCTTTTGGCCTAACGGCGAAATACTGTTGTGGGTCTGGGGTCCGACCAGGACCCTCGCGTCTCACAGCCCGCTGAGTTTGGAGTTTTGGTCTTTTGGATTTCGGACTTCTGGGATTCTGGGGGCTCTGAGCCTTTGAGGACGGTGTGTGGTAGTAATTTCAGTTTTGGCATTTTGCGTTGTCCAGTGCGAAAGGGCACTGCTTAGCTAGTCGATTTGCGGCTTCAGCGCGAAGCAAAGTACCTGCCGCCCTGCATGCACTGCAGGGTTGGCATCCCCGCGTGCGGGAGCAAAACGCTTTTGCCAGGCAGCACCCGTGGCAGCTTCGAAGATTGTGTCTGATGGCCTAGAAGAGGTGCCCCAAGTCGAACCTGAAACCCTCAGTCCAAACTTTCCCCGGACTTATCGCATTTGCCCTTGCATACATGCAGCGGATATGATTTGGGCCACAAGATACCGTTTCCAGGGACAGCGACATTTGGAGAGAGGGGGAGAGCGGCAGCGAAACAGCTCTGCAAACTTCGAACCACAAAGTTAAAGTCACAACTCCAAAACGGCAAACCCTCAAACAAACGCCCAACCGTAAAAGCCTTATAAACTCCACCCGCGCACCCTGGACCAACACACCGTCGACTCTGCAGCGTAGAAGTCTACCTACCTGTGTTGTGACAGCTGTTGTGGCCAAGGAAGACGGAGCAAGAAGACTTCGCCCGGATCCTTGGAGACACGCAGGAGGCCCCCGAGTGACATGCCATGGTGAAGGTTGTTCTATTACTACAGGGTAGATGATGGATTGATGGAAGTAACACCCTGGACACGAGACCCTTTTTTACCAACACCTCCTGTGACACACTGCCCCTGACGTGAAGTTACGTCAAGTTCCACAACTACACTTTAAGAACTGGCATCCGCCCTCTTGCATAGATGCTTCAATGACTCGCATGCTAGTTGGTTGATGAAGATTTCCCTGTTGATTCGCGGCTTCTTCACTGCATCATACACAACCTGGCTCAAGCAGCTGTTGGTTAAGAGTCGCAGTTCAGTGTATTCAAAGCTTGCTTGGGGCTTGGACGCTCGCTTGGGGACAACATGTCGTACATGGGGGCGGAGCCAGCATCTCTTTCAGAGATCTGCGTGCTGCTTCGCTTATGGAGGCCGGGTGCCAGGGCTCTCCCCAAGGAAGCTTTGTCTTCGGTGAGTGAGTATCTGAGACCGCCAGAGCTGCTTCTCCAACTCGCCAACGGAATTATCGCAGTGTCTTTGGAGACTGGCCAGGCACTGAGGTTCTTCGATACATCGAAGTTCGGCAACGCGGCCTGCATCTTGGGCCCTACGGCCATTTATGACTTCGCCCTGTGCGGGGAGGTGCAGTCTCATCCCACGGCCTCAGGCTTCGAGCTTCGAGTCGAGAGCAGCCAAATCAGCTGCCTCCAGGGTGGGAAACCGCAGGTTTGGCAGTCCTTCAGGGCAAAGTCCCACGCAACGGCCTACACCGTGAGACCTGGCTTTGCATCTTTGGGCTGCATTGCCGAGCGGGCGAAGGAAGTCCTAGACGTTCATTTGGGATCAGCTGTCGTTTCTAACACAAACAACTGGCTGGCTACAGCAGTTTGGCGGAGCAGAGATGAGTTGCAGATCACCGTCTGGGACAGCGCTACAGGCAAAGCACGTGGCAGATTTACATGCGATGGCTGGTACCAACATGCGTGTTCAGGGGGAGCATTCTCGATGTTTGCCTGCGGACGTTTCCTCATTGCCTGCGGCACAAAGGCGGGATACGGTGGACATGTGCATGCAGCCGTCAATGTGTACGAGATCACGGATCCCGAGCTGCAAAGAGCATGTTGCAAGATTTGTTCAGTTGCGCACATTGGGCATCCCCTTAAACTCGGCACTGTAAGTTTGCATTCAGGAGACTGCTGTGACACGGCTGCGAGATGATCCTTTCTGCCATAGCAACGAGTTCGTCGGCTTTAGCTTCCTGTCCCCCCATCTCACTGGCATCACAGTATCATTGGACTGGCATGAGCCTCGCATCGTGACCTCCAGCTTCGGAGCGGCAGGGTTGACAGAGTTGGAGGAGGTCTTCAAGCCCGCGGCTTCCGCTTCCTGGGATTTGTCAGGTTTAGTTGGCGCCAGTTTGGAAGGAGAGTTTCTGGTTTCTTGGAGGATCCGCGGCAACCAAGAGGAGGAGGAGGAATGGTCCATTGTGGAGGCCTGGCGCATGGCAGGTGCGGATCACGCGCCTCGGGCTCGATGCCGAGCCTGGAGCGCCGCACTGCGCGAGGAGCTGCTCTTCGTGGCCGCGAGGCCGAGGACCTGCCGAGCCCTTGAAGCTCTGCTGCCGAGCCCGAGCCAGGGCCTGGAACACTGGCGGCAGAAGTGGCAGATGGACGGAGGCCGATCTTTGGTCCCGCCGGAGAAATGATGCCAAAAGCGCAAGGCTTTCGCTGGGTCGCAGGTAGCCAGGGCCGAGTGCTGAACCGAGCAACAGCCGCGGCTGAAAGGGTTTGAGTCAGAGGTGGGGTCCTCGATTTTAGGTTTCGATGGTCGATGCTCCGTGGGCTTTGAGCACACACCCACCTCGAACTGGATCAGGTTTGTTTGAATCTTGGCCAGCGACGCCTACACCCAGCCTTTCTCAGCTATTCCCAGTAGCGCAGCCTGCAGGACCTCCGATCACAGCTGGCCTATGCCTCAGCATGTGTTTATTGGCCCATAACATCGATCCTGTCTAATGTTGCAGGGCAATAGTGGTACTGCCGATCATGGCAACAATCGCTGGCACCGGCGCAGATCGCACACAATGTATGAATACTTGCTCCAAGATTCTGAGATCACTCTCACAACAGTCGAGGACCATGGCAAGACGACCGTACGTCCACGCGAAACGCTAACAGCACCGGAGAAGGACTTCAAGACCACTCCAGCACAACATCAAGACTGCACCGGCTAACGCTCGAAATGACCTCGGGAAGCGATTCCAGTCCATCGGTCCACCAATCAATCATCCTGTTACATGTAGATAGACAGATAGATAGATGTGTGTGTATGACCAGCTAATTCCTACAAGGGCGGCCTTTCCAGGCGGGACCGCTCGGGGCACGCAGGAAGCCGACGGAGCTACCATGGCTTGGGCAACCAGCATGAGATCACGATTTAATATAGACCTGCTAATTTCTTTGATGCTCACAGTCATCACCTCACGAGGAGGACCTGCGGAAGGACCTGTTCAACGAGAAGGCCCAGCCGACTAAGTGGGTCTCGGAAGTCTTCAATCGAGGGATGTTCAGGCTGCAAATAGGGTTTAGCCATGTGGCTCTCGTTGTCCTTAAATTGCAAACTCCCCCCTTGTGTCAGGTTCAGTTTTGTCTCGATTCCCAGGTGTGCGTCCTTACATGACAGCTGCCCACATACAGAAAGCCTTATTGCAGCTGGGCCTTTGCGCACCAGACTCCTGTGCTTCAAGACGCATGCCCTCCAATAGGAGTCATGATGAATCCTTGCTGATTGAGGCTTGAACTGATGCGTTCCCTGGCTTCCCTGGCCTCCCTCCCCAAGCCCACAGATCTTTGCCTCGTGCGTCCGCAGGACCTGAGATTACAGGATGCGGGGAGCCCAGCGAATCCGGGAGGGGGCAGGCACACGCTCTGGAATTCTTCGCGGAAGCTGATGTGACCACGGTGCGCAAGCTTGCAGTTGTTTGTCCGTGGTACTAGTTCTCGACAGACAGGGACGATAAACCGCAAATGCCAAAGCCCTACTGTACAAGTGCCGGTGATTGCTGGTGCAGTGTCGGCACCGGCCGCCCTCCTGCACGATCCACCGGTTTTTTTTTGGCTCAGGGTTTCAGGGATCATCCGTGGAGTAGTAGTTTCTGAGATCAACGGGCAGATGCTGCAATCCGCGACCCATCTTCAGGGGCAGTAGCCTGGCCGACCACACCACAGCCCTGAAGCTACAAAAACAAAACCCTACTCATCTAACCGGAGCTAACTTCTCTCGCGCCGATTCTGCGAGCACCTTCGAGACCTCCCTTGCGCGAAGGTGGCATTCAGCATTCGATTTGCTTCGCTTGTCGTGGTGTTTGCAGTTCCTAAGCCGGTCAGCGTGCACAGCGCCTCAGTAAATCATCATGAAGTTTTCACCGCGGTAGGTAGTGTGTACGGGATTCAGCAATGGCAGTAGGGTGCTCTTGGCCAATGATTCCTCGGTAAATCCAAGAAACCTGCTTAGTTCGACATGGTCAAACTCTACAATCCTGTTTAGCCTCATTAGAAGCCCTGAACCTTCAGTCATGTACCAAACCGTGGCCAGCTCCACTCAGATCAAAGCTGCTCTGAGACGTAGTTATGCCTGAGCAGGCATGGCGCATGTAGACACCAGTGACGATGAGGACCCCCAGTGGGGAGGAGTGGATTGAGCCCTAAGTAAAAGCACTGAGCCCCGAAACCCTCGGGGCTGACGTCTTCGGCTTCGATACATCTTGCCCGGTTTGTCCGAGTGCGAGTCTCAAGCTTCCTAAACCCCTCTTGCCACTCGTCCGAGCCTGAGCCGTAAGCCTCAGACCCTCAACACGTCCGGTTTGAGGCTTCGAGGCCGAGGCCCAGGATTCAGTCGTTACGCAAAGGCCTGTGTCATACAAGCGCCTCAATTGTCTGTGCCGACTTGTTCGTGGAGCCGACATCTTGGCTTCGTGAGCGCTGGGTATTTTCTCTTGCTCACTCAGTGTCCCTGCCCTCCTCGCCGGCATCGTCTTCGTTGTCGGCGCCTTTGCCATGTGAATTTGTCTGCAGGGCTGGGTTCTTCTGCTGCGCCCGAACACCGCATCGCCTTCAGAAGTAGGGCCAGGGCTGCCTGTGTGTTTACACTCACGTCTTCCTCGACTAGGCTGGCGTGGCTATTGCAAACCCGAAAGCCCCCAAGTCGTGAAACCACGCAGTGCGCCCCAGTGCCAGCAGCAGCACCACACAGAGATACAGCCACTGCCACCGTCACTGTCATAGTCACCTGCTCCAGAACAGCACTAGCAACTTCCGGCTCCTTGTCGTCGTCGTCGTCGTCCTCCTCCTCCTACTGCTGCTTTTGCGTTGTCACTCTCCTTTGTACCGTCCTTGCTATCATTGAAATTATTATCGCCATGGCAATCCATGCCCACTGTTCACCACGATAATCCTCATCTCTTCTTGATCGTCCGCGGAATTCGCACCACCTCACTATCCTAGTTCTGACCGTCGTCACTACCGAAACGATCACGGCTAATCACGATCAGCAAGGAGGCCTGTGACTCCGAACCCGTGGTCCTCGACAGCAAGGCTTCGGCCTCAGGGCAGCTGCGGAGGGGAGATTTGCAGGCATTGCTCAGGCAGCCACTTTGCACAGAACCCCTGCTCTAATTGTTGACCCAGTGCGGATACCAGTCAGATGTGCTCAGGCATTGGCAAAATTGCGGTTCGGGTTTGGCGACAGCACGTGCTCCGCCACGGTCTAGATTGTTGCCACTAGAGTAGAGTACACGTGGAGACCCCTGATCGTAGCTTGGTCGGCGAGACGGTATCCTGGTATTTACACGTTGCCCGAGAAAGACCTCCTGCTCACAGACAGTTCTTCGAAAAACTTCAGTATTCCTTGATGGATGACTGGTCGAAACCACTCAAAACCGCATACCGCAAGTCTACGGGATGCAGACCGACTTACAAAGTTATAGCTAAAGACAGATACACTTCAAAAAGGCACATCAGCCGGCGCGCTTCACTTGAGCAGTTCCAAGTTTGCGAGCAACAAACATGGAGTGCTTCATCATCATGGGATTGATTCGAGTTCTACTGACAGACTCGCCTGTTACGTCGCATGAAGGGATTTAAGTAGAAGCCGAGTCATAAGGAATCAAGCATGAAATCATCCTGAGTTCCAGGCCACGCATGAGAGCTTGCTTTTAGAGCATCGCTGCGCCGGCTGAAGGCGACGTAAGCACATATGGAGCGAGAGGGAGAGAGAGAAATAGAGAGCAAGAGGTCCGGACTGAGACAATGCAGATATGTTTGGAGCGTGACCTGGAAAGCAGATTCATAGCTGGCCTCTTCGTCGCCCCATGAAGAACAATGGGAATCGGGAAGCCGCAGCCGTAGCTTGGTGGGTAGTTGTCGAACCTAAGCCGACCCGAGACCCCATTCCAGGACTCGATAACCTTGCACGCTGCTACACCGTAAACCCGAAAATCTAAACCCACACGCCTGGACTCCGAACCCCATTACATCTGAACTTTCCCTGCGCCTCAAGGTGGGGATTCGGAACCTGTCCCTGGAGAGAGAGAAAGCCGGAGCCCGTGAACCTGCTATGGCTCAGGAGCGAGGTTCAGATGAAAGGTTTTCCATGACACAGAGGTGCCCCGCCCACTCCCAGTAGCCCGTGACCGAAGAGCACGAAGCGCACCGAGGCTCGCTCGCTGCTGCTGCAGGCGGATTGTTAGGTCTGTGAGGTTCTGCTGCTTCATTGGGGCTGGGGACACCTTGAAAAGCCATGTTCCCCGAGCCGTTGTCTTGTGGTTTCGGGGTTTGTCATGCTTCAGCCCGACGCCCTGCCAGAAAACGGAGCCGCGAAGTGTAAGCTCGAGTCTCAACTTCCTCGTCCCAATGAAACGTGATACAACTGCTCATGAGTCCCAAATGTTGACACCGAGCCACGACAGACACACCCAAGAGCGGCATCGAGACCTTGCTGAAAGGCGCGCGAGGAAACAGCCGCCGCACAGAAGAAGGCCTTCGCTCTTTGGGTCTAGGTGCTACTTCAAGGGTTTAGGGTTGAGGGGTTTAGGGTTTCGGCAGAGAAGGCAATGCTGGCAGTCATGAAGTCCGGTTTCAAAAGGGCTAGGCTTGCTCCAACTCCGGGCGAAGTGGAAAACCTGTTGCAAAAGGGTTAGGCTTGAGGCGTGTAGGGACTTTTAGCACAAACTGCGCCGGCCCTCGAAACCCAGTCAGAAGCGACCCCGTGCAAGACTTGAACACAGGACGGGCAAGGGTACGGACTCGGCAACTGAAAAGGCTTCTTTTGTTGCACCACTACCTGTCTCTCAAGTGTTCCAAAAGTGTGTCACGGATGCTTCAAGGACTCCGGAATGGATCGTTGTGTTCGGGAGAGATTCCTTTTAACACTGTAGGATCCAGGATGATCCCAGCACCGGTCAGAGCTATGTTGCTTCCACGCTCACGGGTCGTGTTGCTAAGCCTGGAACCAAACCCCAAGACGCTGAAGCCTTCAGCCCAACTCTCGAGTCCTACGCCCAGCGCCCACAACCGCAAATCCCCGAGCCCGTATCCCCAAGCTTCCCGCGCAGGTAGACAGCGGTCCGGAGGACCGGGCTTGCTGCACAGAGCAACCGCAGTAGAAGTAGCAACGTGGAGGAGCGGTAGCAGTGCAAGTCAAGTTGTGGAGGGGCATAAAGCAGAAGGGGACTGGGATTGCTTGCAGTTGCACGATATTCATTGTGGTGGTATGCCGTTTCAACTGCGAAACATATGTGTAAGGAATTGCGGCCATCCATGGGACAGCATCAACTTAAGCAGCACAGTCATTGCTTATGGTGAGACGCACGTCACTGTTGCTGTTATGCTTGCATCTCCAGTTCCCGAAGCTAAGTCGTTCTCCGCACAAAGACAGAGGAGCAAATCATCATCACCGCCACCATCACCACCATCATCATCAAAATCACACTCTTCCTCTCCGTTGTCGTCGTAACGGGCATGATCTTTTTCACCTCTATTACTATCCTGATAGTTATTCTCACCCGTCAGGCGAGGCGAGAAACAGTCACCATCATTCTTACACCAGCGTCATTTTAAGTCATCGTAGTAAGTAGTAAGGTTTTGTTTATACCACCACATCGTCGTAGTAACTTAGTAGTAAGTGGCTGCAACGACAGTCGTAATCCAAGTGTTGAGACATGCAAGTGTCATTCTCTCACGGTTTGTCTCCCACATTCATAAGATGGCAACTCAACGACCTGCACTCAATGCAACAGCATCCAGTCAAGTTCGGAGCAACCGGCTGTCACTGTCCATGGATTATCCTTTCCCCGGTCTGTTTCGCACGCCGTGTAGTAGAACGTAGGCATGCTGAACAAGGCCGTGAGCTAATTCGATGCAGTGTGTTTATAAACGGTGATATGCTTGAGGTTTGATGTCGGTCTGATGTCGAGGTGTGCAGACGAGCTAACTAGACGCGGGGCTTTGTCAGATGCCAAGCATCAGATTCGCAGTTCTCGCGTGCGGCTGATTTTCGTTGTTTGGATGCACGGTTCAGGTTCATGGTTTACGGTAGGGTCTGGGCTTTGAATGAGACAGTACCGAGCTTGTAGATGGTCGCGGCTCGCGAGTGCAGCAGGCTTCGTTGCTGAGCCGCCTTCAAACAAGGCAGATGGTGCTCAGCACCCTGGCAGCGGCTGTTGTGAGTGTCTTTTTGTCGCTTGCAGCTTGTTGTCATCGCTATTCGTGCCGACATTCATAACCATCGCGGTGGTGTTGTCGTCATCATCGTCGCCTGCAGCTAATACGTTCATGTTCCGCCCCCCCCCTCTACCATCAGGACCAGCAGCAATGAAGCCATGATGATGATCATGACGACGATGATGATGGTGGTGGTGATGGTGATGGTGACGATGACGAGGATGATGGTGATCACCATCATCATCGTCACCACCGTCACCGACACCACCACCACCAGCACCCAGCAGCAGCAGCAGCAGCAGCAGCAGCAGCAGCAGTTGCAGCAGCAGCAGCAGCACGAGCTGCAGCAGCAGCACCAGCAGCAGCACCACCAGCAGCAGCATCATCATCGTCATCGTCATCACCAGCACCATCATCGTCATCATCATCATCATCATCATAATCATCATGGTCATCATCGTCATCGTCAACACCGTCGTCGTCATCTTCACCACCATCATCATAATGCCCATTTTTTGCCGGCATCTCCGACACCATCAACGTCACCATCATCACAACTAACTACATACACCTTGAGCTCCATTCCAGTGTTATATAAGTTTCTTCACCGGCATCCTCCATCACACCGTCCTCCTGCTCCTCCTCCTGCTCCTACTCCTCATCACCATTGCGATGTTTTGGGAGAAACGGGTGTCCGCACTGAGGCCACGGCCTGGCCCGAATGAGATATATGTTCTGCTGAGAGGATTTCGTCCCCGCTCGTGTGAATCGTGTGAGTTCAGGAGATGTGATGCCTGTGACAAGGAGGGAAGGATTTTTTTTGAAGTGTTCCGGGACAGTGCGTACATAGTTTCGGGGACGAAAGCAAGGTTTCTGGTATTTACATGTAACGCACAGCACTGGAGCAAATAACGCTACAGACTTACCAGCACCGTGTCATTATCACTGTCGTGTTAGTATTGCTGTTCTCATTACGGTTTGGACATTGCTGAAATTCTGCTTTACGCCAGCGACAGATTGAAGTCCAAGCCCAATGTTGTCGCATGGGTGATTGCTGACCGCGGGTCTACATTCGGTGCCAGCAGACCTCGTGTCAGTCCTTGTGCTTGGGCCATATCCGCGCACTCTGCCGACTGCAGGTTCAGAGCTCAAGCAGTGCGAGCAGGACCTTCAGGCAAGCTCAACTCCATCAGGTGTGTTTTGAGTGATCCGGTCCGTCGAAGGTGCTTCCGTCTTTGGTGTTGGCACTTGATCTGACGGCAATAAGAATACGGTCGTTCAAAAACTTGGCCAATCGACCATGTGCACAACAGAAGTTGCTACAATGCCAAGCGCAGGAAGCACAGAGGGAAGTCTTTGGTGAATAAAGCCGTTCACGAACATCGAATCTCATTAGGGTTTGTGGTCGTGCTGGTCGGCTTGGCGGTGGTGGTGCAACAGTGCGCTAAGGTTCGAATTGTTCCGAGCAGGCCAAGCCAACGCCGCTTTTTGCTACCACTTAAAAGTTCAGAAGATTCTGGTGGGCAGCCGAATTCTGCTCAGCCATTGAATGAAGCCTAGCTGCCCTTCAGCGCTCTACCCCGAATTACGAGCCCGTAGCTTATATGAAGCACCTTTGGAGCTCTGAAGTTCCAGGAAGCAGGCGTGTCGAAGGGGAATTATGGAAGGAACTTTCGCTCCCTAAACCCTAAAAATCCTCAACCCTCAAAGCCCTCAGCCCTAAAAACCCTAAATCCCAAAACCCCTACTAAACCCTAGTGCAGAGTTGCTTTTCCTGCCTCGCCCGGGCCCGAGCCGCCGAAATCCACGAGGCTGCCAAGCGAAGGGACCGCGCAAGCGGAGGCAAAGCCAGAGCCAGAGCCGAGGGTTGTTCAAAATATTATGTTATATTATGTTAGATATGAGTTACACTACAATATGTTATAACATATTATCATTGAGATTCTTTTTATGATTATGGTGATTATGATTGTTATGATTAAGATGATTATTATGCTTATGATGATTATGATTGTTATGATTATTATGGTTATTATGATTATGATGATTATGATGATGATAACTATTTTGTTTGCTATGATAATGATGCTTATGATTGTTATGACTATGATGATCAGGATGGTTATGGTTATTATGATTATTATGATCATGATGATTATGATTATTTTATTTATTCTGATTATGATGATTATGATTAGTATGATTATTATGACTGATATGATCAGTATGATTATTATGATTATTATGACTATTATGGTTATGATGATTAGTATTATGATTATGATTATTATGATTATGACGATGATGATTAGGACTATTATGATTATTATAATTATTCTTCTTACTCTTGTCATTCTTATCATTCTTGTAGTTTTATTACTATTATTATTTGTTGTATTATTCTTATTAGTACTACTTTTCTTATTTTCTTCCTATCAGTATTCAGATAATTGTGATTGTTATGATAATTATGATTATTATGGTTATGATTGCTATGATTATTATGATCATTGTGATTGTGATGTTTATTTGTGATTATTATGATTATTATGATCATTATTATTATCATGATTATTATACTATGGTAAATATGGTTGCCATCTTTCGGAAACCGTCGCCTTTCCTGAAGCTGCGAAAGCTTTCAAGCTTTGAAGGAGTTTTCGGCGGTGGCGGCCTGGCGGTGGGCCAAAAAGTCCGTGTCAGGCTGCTGCGCTGCTTTGAAGGGGCTGGGATTCTTGGAACGTTCAAAGAACCGGACAGGGCCGGACAGTGCAATTCGGAGATTTTCTGAGGCCTTCCTGTGAGCTGAGCAGTTTTGATTCAATGCAGCTCGAAGAGCATAGGATGCTGTTCAGGCAAGTCAAAGAAAAAGCGATGATGACGATGACGATGGTGATGGTGATGTCAAGAAGGATTGTTGTGGCTTCTTGGCGCGGCTTCACAAGAACAGCAGCCAGAAAGCCCAAACACCCAAGCAGAACCAGAATCAACATCAGTATTCGTAAGAATGGTATTGCCTGTAGCAGTAGATGGCGACATGTTCGAAAGCATTCCCCGCAAGGCAAGCCGACCGTTTCGGCAATCCTGCAGGTGGCATCCAGGACCGGGTGGCGGTTGGGTTCTGTGATGGCACTAGGAATCCAAATTAAGTGCATCAGAAGGGGATATCCCGAACCTCTGGACCGTAGGCCCAGCTGAACTGTGGCACATCGGCGCCCTGAGCCGTGCATTTCTCTGCCATGCGTCCGAGATGCAAAGTCGGACTCTGAGTGATTTGGCTTAAGGCTGACATTCAGCAGGTGGCTTGTGGCCTCACTCTTTCAATCTGCCATGATGCTCTTTTGGATGCACTGGGTCTCCTTGGTCCTGGTCGGTGTGGCGGCTCACAACCGCACAGAGTCCTGTGAGGACACGGACAAAGAGGCCATGTCCTGCCTACAGACCCGGCAGGGGGCTCAGGCGCAAAAAGCCATGAGTTCAAGCAGTGCCTGTGATTGCGTGTACACCATCCAGTCTGGGGATACCTGCTGGGCAATTTCAAAAGACTATTTCGGGGTGGAGTACCCGGACATCCAGGTGATGAGCACCGGGGAGACTTGCCCGGATGCCGCGTTGTACTCGGGTGAGCAAGTCTGCGTTACCGGCCCCACCAAAGGCAAGGAGAAGTGTGAGGGTGGAAGTCCCGACTGCGTCTACATTGTGCAGCCGGGCGACTCGTGTTGGGCTATGAAGGATATCTTTGGAGTGCCTTACGAGTCGATTACGAACATGCAGACTGGGGAAAAATGCCCGGACTGCACTGTGAACCTGGGTGATCAGTTTCAGATCGACAACCCCAAAAAGAGCCAAGACAAGTGTGAAGGCCCAACCCCAACATTTCCACCAAGCCCGGGACGCTGTGAGTGGCCGGAGGACTTCGCGACGGAGCTGTACTGGATGCCCTACACCGAGAAGGATGCGCTTCCCTCTGCCGATATTCTGAAGCGCGTGACCAAGGTGATCATGGCTTTCGTTGGAACCTATGCTTACACCAAGGAGTCGCGTTGGCAAGAGTACAAATGTGAGTCCAGCTGCACCTTCCCGAAAGTCTGGCCCTTAGTCAGCAAGGGTCAGGAGTGGGCTAAGCAGATGAAGGCCATGAACTCCAACCTAGAAGTGACGATCTCCTTCGGTGGCTGGAACCAGGGGCCTGGAGACCAGAACCTGAACTGCTACGAAATCTCCGGCTGCTATGCCGATGTCAATGGCCTCGCGGACGAGCTGGCACAACTCAACGGCGGATCCATCGATGGCATTGACCTGGATTACGAAATGTCTGAGGACCTTTCGTCTGCCACCGGCAAAGGTGTCACCTTCCTCGGCTTCCTGAGCTTAGCGCTCCAACAACGCGGTGTTCACGTCTCTCAGGCGCCCCAGCCACCGTACTTCGACACTTCCGGCCCAGGTGGCGGCTCCTACACGAAGCTCTTGCAGGAGTACCCCGCTTGCAAGAAGGATCTCATGGCGATCCAGTACTACAACAATCCGAAGTTTGCCATCGGTGTAGACGATGACAACATCGCCAAGAATTACTGGAGTGCAGTGGGGGACATGGGTGGCGACGCTTCGAAGGTGCTCCTGGGCCTGTGCTTCGTCGACTGCAATGATGGTTTCAGGGCCTACGACCCCAGCTTCCCGGCGAAGAGCCAGACCCTGGCGCCCGACTTGCTCAAGAACGTCATGTCCAAAGGCAAAGGCTTCGGTGGCATCATGATCTGGGCGAACCCTCAGTCGAAGAAGAGCAGCAAGTGCAAGGATACCAGTGGTAAGGATGATGGCTGCTTTCCGCAGATGCCGGCATGGCTGGACACTGTCTGCTACTCCGTGGGAGGGACGCCAGCTCCCACACCCCCCCCGCCGCCCGTGCCGGAGGATGGGTACAACGGGCAGTTCATGATCCCCGCCAATTGGGGCTCAACGTCCTGGAAGTACAAAGGCCCCAAGGGGCCAATTGGCATCTGCTTCGGTGGCGCCAGCGTCATCCAGTTAAACACCGACGCCGGATGTGCCCCAGGTGGTGATACGTACCAAGTCACGGTGGACATGTTGACGAAGGGCGGGCAGAAGTTCTACGACTTCGGAGGGGGCGACGCTAACGCTAAGCAGTGGTACACCGAAGATCTCCTGGCCAAGCTGAATGACTACATGGACACCCTGGTCGGAAGCTATGAGGGTATCTTCTATGACATCGAAACCTTCCCGTCGGACTTCAACCCAACAACCATGAAAAGCGCATTGGACCTCTCCTTCTCCATGGCCAAGTCCAAAGGGTTCAACATTATCGCCAGTACCTCATACACATCACCCTACACGCCCAGAGGCTATCCAAGCGACTACCAACAGCGTGCCGACGAGGTGTGGAAGCATGTCATGGCGAATCCGGATGTCGACATCTTTGCGCCGCAGTTCTATGCCGACGGCAAGACCGCTAGCATTGTAGAGACCAGCGGTAGCTCCGTGAAGTTCACGACATGGACAAGCACCATCCAGGATTCCTCCGGAAGGATCCGCCCCATCTTCAAGGCGTACTCCTGGCAATACTACGAGAATCAGGTGGCCCAGATGGAGAAGAAGTGCAAGAGCATACCTGACGAGTTTTGCCAAGGTGGCTATCTCCTCTGGGGTGGCCCTTGAAACCTGAGACTTTCATGGCTACAAATGCCGGGGCAAACGAATGCAATGCAGCCCCAAGTCTTCTGATCCTTTGTCGAAGCTCAGCCCCCAAACCCCTCAAAAGTGTAGTGCAAGTCCATGCAAGCAAACCTGAAGCTGTAGTCGTTCGTAAATGGATCGGGGGAGTGCTTGACCACAAAACATGGGACTTGCCGAAAGGCTCGAGGCATCATTGATAGGACCTTCGAGCTCCGAAAACTGCATATTAGCTAGTTACCATGCGCATCATGTAGTCGACTAGTAGTAGTAGTAGTAGTCGTCGTCGTCGTCGTCGTCGTCGTAGTAGTGGTAGGAGTAGTAGCAATAGCAGCCGTCGTCGTTGGGGACGTTGTTGTCGTGTCGTAGTCGCAGTCCTCGTCGGCGGCGTCGTGGTCGTCGTCGTAGTGCTAGAAGTACTAGCGGTAGTCGTCTTCGTAGAAGACCATCACCAAAGCTACACCGACCACCGCTACTGTTACCGCTACCTCTTCGCCCTCTTTCTCCTCCTGCTGCAGCAGCTGCTGCTCCGGCTGCAGCTGCTGCTGCTACCACTACCACCACCACCACTACTACTACTACTACTACTACTACTACTAGTACTACTACTACTACTACTACTACTACTACTAGTACTACTACTACTACTACCCTGCAGTGCTGTCGTCGACGTGCCANNAAAACTACTACTACTGCTACTACTACTACTACTACTACTACTACTACTGCTACTGCTACTACGACTACTACTACTACTACTACTACTACTACTACGACTACGAAAAAACTACGACCACTTTCTACTACTACCGCGGCTGTTACTGCTACTTCTCCTGCTGCTGCTGCTGCTGCTGCTGCTGCTGCTGCTGCTGCTGCTGCTGCTGCTGCTGCTGGAACTAGCATCTCTACGACGACTACCAGTCGTTGCTGCATTGATGCAGCTGTATGTTGTCGTCATTG